TGAAAATCAAACCAACCTGGTATCATCTTCTGTGCCCCTTGTAATCCTGACCCATTTACACATACAATTTTTTTATATTGTTTTCAACGGCTGCAATCCAACAAGTCAACAAGTAACATCTTACTTTTGCTTCCCCCATTTGCTGGACAAGAAGACTTTGTCCATATTTTCAAATGTACAATTAACTTTAATCATTTTTGTGCTTGCTTTTTTCTTTCTTTTTAGAACATACTTTTAAGGATAAAAGTACCTAACAGTATATTAAAGAATGACAGCATGTAGATACTTTTTTAATAGAAATTTCCAAATTGCCTTCCAAAAACAATGTACCAATTTTTTTTTTTCATTTTGGATGTGCTCAGCACTTTTATTTGATTTTTTAAAATTGTGGTAAAATAGACATAACAAAAAATTAACCATCTCAAACATTTTTAAGTACACTGTTCAGCTGTGTTAAGTACATTCACATTGCGGTACAACGAATCCAGAATTCTTTTCATCTTGCAAAACCAAAATTCTATACTTATTAAATAACAACTTCCTTTTTCCCCTGCCCCTGGCAACTGTCATTCTACTTTCTGTTCCTATTAATCTGACTACTCCAGATACCTCATGTAAATGAAATTATATAGTACTTATATTTTTGTGACTGGCTAAATTCACTTAGCATAATTTCTTCAAGGTTCATCCTTGTGGTAGCATATGTCAGAATTTCTTTTGAAAGCTGAATAATATTTCATTGTATGTAAAAATGTATTTTTTTATCCATTCACCCATTGATGGACACCTGAGTTGTTGCCACCTTTTGATTATTATGAATAATGCTGCTATGAACTTTGGGTGTACAAATGTCTGTTCAGAGTTCCTGCTTTCAATTATTTTGGGTATAAACCCAGATGTGAAATCGCTAGATCATATGGTAATTCAATATCTAAGTTTTTAAGGAACTGCCATACTATTTTCCCCAGCAGCGGCACCATTTTGGATGCCCATCAACAATATACAAGAGCTCCGATTTTTCCACAGTTACCAACACTTTTTATAGTAGCCAATCTAATAGGTGTGAAGTGGTATCGCATTGTCCTTTTGATTTTTTAAGTTATGAATTTTTGACAACTTTTTATAGATTAGTCAAAGATAAAAAATTAAGTCTAGTTTTTCTGCAAGTTTTATTAATTCTGAATTAGAGGTATATTACATTTCAATAAGCCAGTTTTCTTAACCAGTTAGTCTCTACCTAAATGTTTATCAGTCTAAAATGGGGACGAGTTTGTTAAATGGCCCCAAATATATGTACAAATGCATCATATGTGATCAAGAATTGGTAAGATTTAGATTTAGATTTAGATTTAAGTTTTTCTTAATGCTGAGATTCCATGCCACACATTTACCAATAGCTATTCCTAAATGTAGCAAGCACTTTCCTTCCTATTTATTCAGCATTCCTGTAGTGTCAGGCATTGTGGTAGGTACTGGAGATGTAAAGATAAATAAGAAGACACTGTCCCCATTACAACATTATGAAATGCATATAATTATTCCCACTTTACATTTGAGAGACCTGAGGCTCCTTAGTTTTTACATCTTGGCTAAGAGCAGACAGAGGCTGAAGAAGCTGAAATTCAAATTCAGGTCTTACTCCAAAGCTCACCTTGTCTACTCTTCCACACAATATTCTGTATTATCAATAGTTTCCTTTTTCAAAAAGTAATATTCACTGTAATTTCTGTTTTTTTCACTTTAGATTTCCAAATGTTAGCTGTTGAGGGGAATGGCACAATTACAGAGAAATAATGATATAATAATAATAAACTTGTAAAAACCTTTTCATTTTGGAGTTAATAACTGTATAGGAAGCACTGTACCAAGCACTGTTAACAAAGCATGCAAAATAACAAATGTTTTAATATGAATAAAAACAATACATCCTAGAGAGAGTTTTGAGTATTTGAGGCTTACTAAAAAAATTGACATACCTTCCAAAGCTCACTGGACTGCCTAAAGTTAACATTTTATTTCTAAACAGCTTGTTTCCTAGGCATGATTCTAACTACACACAGAAGATCCTTCCAGTCCTATACAAAATTCTAGGAGACAGACACAATAAAGTAAGATTCAAAGACCCAAAGATCAAAAACTGCATTGATTCTCCATTTAAACAAACATTTTTTAATCTATAAAAAAATTAAATCATACTATGTTAAAGCACAAAATGCTACAAATAAGCATAACAATGTCAATGTATATAATCTTATAGAAAAAAATTTATAAATAAAACATATTAGCCTCTGACCAATGCAGGAGGGGGCAAAAGTAAGTTTACCGTTATTAAGATGGAAAAAGACATGCAGGTTAGGATTATTACAATATCTTTATTAATTCAAAATAATGTCACAACTGGAAACTTACTTTTGCCCGCCCCTGCAGTCTCAATACATGTATCAAGATTAATCCCTAAATGTTGAAGAAGAGCTGGATATGATGGCTTTTCACAAACTTAATCCTTCTTTATAACTTAAAAAAAAAACCCTCAAGATTAAAGATGAACTATTCAAAATATGTTTCTACGAAGAGGACTTTTGTACAATAGTTGTTTTCTAAAAACAGGCTAGTGAATACTTGGGCTCTCAAAAAAAATGTTTGTTGAGTGAGATGAAATAGAAGCATATAGCTTACCTGTAACAAAGAGAGGAACACAACCCTAAAAATAGTTTTACATACCTTAGGTATAGAATAGATTTTTGGGAAACAGCAAGTAATGCTTTGGTTAAAACATAAACATCTTTAATTCAAATGATCTAAACTCAGCAAATATTGAGTTCCTACCATGTGCTTCTGGGTACTCTGCAAACACTTAGGATAACAGGTCAGAAAATGGTCTCCACCCTCTGGAGCTTACAGGGTAATGTATACATCCTGCAAAATTATCCTTTCTTTTGTGTGAGTCCATGCTCATCAGGCAACTTTTGAAATATAAATTCACCCTCCTCAAAACCTATATAACTTTGTATTACATTGCAGAACTCAGCTTTCTGGTGAATGTATCAACATACCCTATTTATGTTAACAAATCATTATTCAGGTTTGCACATCCCTGTTCAGATTAGTTAGCTTGAGCAAATCCCCAAAAGCTGAGAAATCGTCATTAATTGGCTAGATGTCGTTTCTAACCCCTCAGAGCTGAGAATCAAATAATAGGAGTGCAATGCCCATACAAAGATGATACCACCAAATGAGTCCCTAATTTATCCTGAGACAACATACCTTTATTTCACCATGCTCTTCAAACTGCATTATAGTTAACTCATAAAATTCTCAAGGATAAATGAGACGTACCACATAACGTCTTCTCAAACTTTAAAGTGCATATGAAATCACTTGCAGATCTGTTAAAATGCAGACTCTGACTCGGCAGGTGCGAGGGGTAACGACGGGCAGTCCTCCTCTCTGATGAGCTCCCAGTGATGCCCAGGCTGCTGCCACAGGCCAGGAGGGGGTGTGACACACCTGCCACAGCATCTGGCCACAGGCTGCTCAGCCCAGGGAACAGGTCCCTCCCGTCTGTGATGCCTTATTTCCTTTAGTGACCTCACCATTCTTGGGAGAGAAAATGATGGGTTTTTCCCCCTTTGTATTCTCCAAAGTTCCATACGACAGGCATTATATCTGTACTGAGTGAATGACATCCAGCTTTTTTAAAATCATATTTCATTTTCCAATTAGTTGACATACATTATTATACCGGTTTCAGGTGCACACCCCAGTAATTAGACATTCCATAACTTACTAAGTGATCATCCTGATAAATCTTGCACCCATCTGACATCCAGCTTTTTAAGTCACTACTTCCTATATAAACAATTATTTCCTCCGCTTATGTTGATGTGGTAAGCAGTAAAGAAAGGAAACAAATGTGTAATATTATTTTCCTTTCTAAAATGTTTATCTCTACCGTTTGTGGCTCTTTTGATATGGTTTTTGCGATGACTCTGCCAATTACCAAACATAAAGTCTATTATTTTGAGTAACTGTGAACCAAGGATGGGTTTTCAATAGCACTACTGAATGAAAACAACGTAAAGGTCTTGCAAATAAACGTGGATCACCGCTTCGCCCTCCATACACGACAAACACCAACCCTCTGTTCTAGTGACCACGAGCCGGGCAGCCCAGTCCCTCCACCGCCCACGGCGCCCGCGACCATGACCGCGACCGCGACGGCCCTGGGTCGGCTGAGTCTGCCGCAGAGGCCCGTCCGGCGCACTGGGGCTCGTGCGCATCCCCGCCCCCGTTTGCTTTCGTCTTTATTAAGACTGTGTTTTGTTTTTGTGTTACAAGACACAACACCAGTCGGGTGGCGCAGTCAGAGGGTGGAGGGGTGGAGGGGACGCCTGTGACCTCGGGGCCGTCCTCCTACGTCCCCATCCAGGAGGCAAAATGGTGGCCGCGGAAGCCACCGCCTGGGTCGGGCGGGGTTGCGGCGCGGCCGGAGAGGACCCGTCAGCTACTGGCGGCAGACAGGTCCTCACCCACGCAGGCCAGGGTCCCACAGCCCGGGCCGCGGCCCGCGCGGTGTCTACGGCCCCGAGAGCCGGGCGAGGGTCCGGAGGCGGGGTCCCCGCGGGCGTGAACAAGTACGCCATCATAGCCCTCCCTGCTCGGTGCCTGGGCTGCAACCCGGGCTGCAACCCGCGCTGCAACCCGCGCTGCAGCCGAGGCTCGGTCCCCGGAGGGAGGGAGGCTGAGAAAAGGCGGGAGGGAGGAGAACAGCTTGGGCGGGCGGGGACAGAGGGGGCGGGGGACGGGGCGGGGCCGAGGCGTCTGCCTTGACAGCTGCGGGAAACGGGGAGGGCGGTGTCCCCTGCGGGGCGGCCTAGGCGGCCCCATCCGCAGTCACCCGGCTCCCAGCGGTGGGAGCTCCACATCTGCGGATGACCCAACCCCACGCGGCGCCTCTCACTGCGGCCGGGTCGCGGCGGGCGGCGAGGGCAGCCTCTTACCTGGGCCTTCCTTTTCTTTATCGTCCGCCATCTTGTGCGGAGCCCGTCGCCCTGGAGACGTCCGTCCCTAACATAGGTCGCCGCGTCCTTGCCCCCCTTATCCCCCGCGCGGGGACAATCGGGCCCTCCGGGGCCCACGACTCGGAATCCCGAGGGGAGAGGACCCTAGGGCGGGGAGGAGGGGGGGTCGCGGGGAGCCTCCGAGCGTGCACCCTTCCCCCATTCCCGCCGCGACCCTCTCGCTCACGCGAGACCAGAAGCCCCGTCCCGCCGCCTGACACCCCGCGTGTCTCCCCCGGCTGCAGTTCTTTTCGTCCAGAACTGGGCCTGAGCCGTCATTTATTTAATAAAATTATTTCTAAAATTCCCCGGGCTTCCTTTTCCTGATTTGTGATCCATTTGGGGACATCAGACACACCGCTCTCCCCCTCCTCTTCCATTTGGACGACGTGCTGTTGCTCGATTTTTTTTTTTTTTTTTTTTTTTTTTTTTATTGCAGATTTTAAAAGCCAGCTTAAGAGCTGGGTGCAGTGCTCGGCTTCCGAGGGGGTGACCGAATTCACCCGCCACACTGCCACCCCGCCTTCGCGTCCGCGGCCGGCTGGGCGGAGAGGCCGACCTGCTCCAACTCCCGCCCTCCCCAATTGCTCCGATCCCGGGCTCGCCGCCCGCTCCCAGGGACGGTGACAGCGCAGGCCAGTAGAACTGGAACTAAACGGAAACGGGCGGGTGCAGGAGGAAACGAGAGCCATTAGACTGTTATTACTAGGGGAGCGGAATAGCTGGAGAAAAACATGTGAGGAAAAAAAAAAAAGCACAAGCATTGCGTTATTAGGGCTGCAATTTCTGATACAAAATAGAAGGCTCTCGTAGCAACAAGAAGGTGCCCGCGTTGTGATTATTGTTACACTATGGAAAAGTTTTAAATCACGTTTTCCTGAAGCTTTGCAGCTGGAGCATAATGTTAAATTTTGGTTTCATTTTAAGGATAAGTTCACTATACAAGAGTATTTCCTTTTTTCAAGTGATTTTTAAATAATATGCCTAATGATGAGGATCAAATATATATTTTTAAAACTAGTCTTAGTGTATACGTTTACTAATTTAAATGACTGGGTGTTAGGTAAACACCATTTAGAAACTGTCAACTGTAAATTTTAAGAGGTCTTCCAAATGCAAGGTATTAGTATTCAATGATTTTAAGTTTTTATGCTCTTTTTATTCATTCTGATTCTATAACCTCAGTAAAACCTAAAGCAAACTATTGTTCTTTATTAAAAATAAGCATTTTTATATAGGAGATAGTCTTGTGGTGCTGTGCTCAGCATTCTTTTTTGAAACTGAATAGAAAGGATGGGATCATCACAAAATGGCTCATATTGGAAGATAGGTACTTACATAAAGTGAATACAATTGTTTTCAGTAAATTCATAACACCCCCAAGTATGAGAGTGTAATCATTAGCATTTATTTATATTTAAATTTCATACTCATTCTGGACTAGTTATTTGTTTTTAAAGAGTCTGTTCTGCCATACCGATCATGAAGGGCTTTGAAATCAATATAGCGAACCTCAACCTTGGTCTCAGGTTAACTGCCTACTCGCATAAGCTGTTCGCAGGGCCCTTTTGCTGGGACGCCTTTCCCTCCTCTCCCCCTGCCCCGGCATTCGCCATCAGGCCCACAGACACATTTTGCTCCTTTCTGGTTGTCAATGACCTCCCTGAAGGTCAGGAAGTATTTGAAGCTTTCCCTGTCCACCTCTTCCTCTGTGGCCTTGTCCTCCTAGCATAGAACCTTTCACTTAGATTTGCAATGACTTTGGTTTGTTAAAAAACAAAATTCAACTGAGTGAATTTGAAGATCTAATTGGCTTTATTAAGCAACCTATGAATCAAGCAGCATCCCACCTAGCAACGGGAGAGAAACTCTGATAAGTTGAACAAAACGGAAGATTTTGTAGACTGAAAGGTGGGGCTAACAAATTAAAACAGTGGATTATTTCAGGCGATGATGCTGTCCCTTATGGGAAAGCCGGGGGCCTTGCACAGAGTAACTGACTAGTGTTGCTCAGGAAATTCCACAGAATGATTGATTGGTTTACAATGTCATTCCTGAAAAAGGCTGAAGCTGCAGTTAGGTTAGTTTATTAAATTTTGGTTTGGTGACATGACTTAGCAAAAGTGACTCCATTTTCGCCTGTTGCTTATTTTTTTTAATGGTTTATTTTCCTTCTACCAAACTCTAAGCTCTTAAGGACAAAAAGTGCTTTATTTATCCATATATCTCCAGTGCCTAGAACAAGTTTTCAATTTTTGTGTCTGAAATAATATGTATTTAAAAAATTAAGGCAGGAGTTAGTCTTCTCAATGTCTTATTGAGAAGCAAAGCTTTTTATTATTTAGATTATTCCAAACCACATTAATCTTTACTTCTCTGAACTCCTACAGCGTATTTAAGACAATACTGTTCCTCTAAGTTTGAATGGCCAAAAAAAATTTAATGTGTGTTAATTGACACCTCCCCCCAATTAGGTATGAAGATAAAAGCTTCATACACCTTTTATATACCCACAGTATCTCACCTAATTTAGGGGCACAAATGAGGAGCTTAATACATACTTTTCAATTGGTTAATTAGCTAATTAGACATAAAAGTATAGCCCTGACTGGCTTGGCTCAGTGGTTGGGCCTCATCCAGCAAAGTGAAAGGTCACCGGTTCAATTCCCAGTCAGGGCACACGCCTGGGTTGCGGGTTTAGTCCCTGACCAGGGGCATTAAAGAGGCAACCAATCAACGTTTCTCTCTACATCAGTATTCCTCTTCCTCCCTTCCTGTCGCTTTAAAAATAAATAAATACAATCTCTTTAAAAATATACAGATGATGTATTATAGAAGTGTACACCTGAAACCTCTAATTTATTAATCAATGCCACCCCAAAAAATTCAATTTAAAAAGTTTTATTAAAAGATATAAATAAAGTAGAAAGAGTAAGTGGTGTGAATAATGCAAAATGGTAGTCAGGAGAACCTTCACAATGTGTTTACTGTCCTAGTATAGAATTCATGGAAACCTCCTGGGAATAGGAATCAGTGAAAAAAACAAAAACTGGATTTTCCTAGGTCATTGCCATGTACCAACCTCACGATCATAGGCAAGTCATGTAATCTCTCTGAAACTTAACTCAGAAAAACAGACATACTGATGTCCAAACTCCCTATCTTAGAGTTTTCATGAGACTCAATAGATGTAACTGAAAGTTTGGGAAAGTTTGAAGGACTCGTGAGGAAATCTACCCTCTTTAAGTGAAATAAACCCCCACTTCTTTCTGGAGATTCACTAGGGAAAAACTAGGGAATTTGCTTTTCTGGTGGTTCAGCTACTTGGCAAGAGGTGATCTGACTCCCGCTCTTAACACCTTTCACTCCTAGAATCTGCTGCTTGGGTGACAACAATGTAGTTTACACGACAGAGCTTACCATCTTCAGTTTCTGGCCCCTTCCTGGTTTCCACCTTGCCATTTTTTAAACCTTACCAAGCAAGAGTGGCCTTAAGCATGTCTAGATTTCTTGAGGTCTAGACCCAGCAAAATGAGAGGGAAAGAATTACTTCTCTGGTCTAATTCCAGTTTCCTAACTGAGGATACATCCCTTTCCTGGGTAATTAGTGTCAAGTGTTTTCTCTCCAAGGAAGACAGTACCCCTAACCATAATTCGAGCAGCCTTACCCTGTGATCTCAAAGGGAAAACCTTATCAGAATACAACAGAATAACAGCATGGTTTCCTTACAGTTATAATAATAAAAAATAACTCTTCTACAGACTTTGTATACATTATCTCTTTCAATCTTTACGAGGCTGATACTGGTATCCTGGTTTTAGTGCTATATTGCCTGTTTATAAATATATGATATCATTGTTCTAGTCTATATAGTAACCTGAATATATTGAAAAGAATGCAAAGGATAAAAATTCTGGGGAAAATTACTCATCTTCCTCCCTACCTTTTTTTTTCTTTTTAACTTCTTCAAAACAACTCTCAGGGACTCTTAAGGACTTCAAGGGAGCCAGATAATAGCATGCATGTTGTCCTTGCCTGACCAGAGAAATAGTTAAAACTAACGGCCTGGCTTTTGCAAGGCAGGAGAGGAGGCAAAATACACACATCCGCTCACCTTCTTCTCCCGCCTGCCTGCTTTCCTGCACATTGAGGTTTCCATCCTCCCATAAGGAGAGAGAATTGTGTTACATTCTTGGCCAAGAGCACTTGCAGTGCCAGAGCTCCTTTGGGCTTTACCAGGGAGACCCAGAACAGGAAGCTGGGACTGCTGCTCTGTGGGCAGCTTACAAATAAATCTTACATGAAACCTTAGCTCTTTAAAGCATTTGGAAAAATCACACTCTTGGCCCTATCTTTCTCAAAAGCACGTGTTTCTTTCTGCTTTCCTTTAAAAAACACATCGCCACAGCAATTCACTGTTTAATTCATTACTTAAACATTTCCTGTCCTAAAGAGCACTTTTCAGGGACACTCATTGCTAAGCAAATCTGGTGAGTCTCTGTTCCTTAGTCATTGAAAATAAGACCTGGAAGTGAAAGGGCGGCAGCTGACCCAGAGCTTGAATAAATGTTTGGTTTCTCATATAACCTCTTCCTCCTTAAGTGGGAAAATAGAGGAAACGTGTAGAATGGTGCTAGTGATTGGCCTTGGAAAGATTTTTAAATTCCAGCTCAAAAAAGAAATCTTTGAAATGAACTCCCATTTATGTTAATGTTTACATTTGGAGATAACACTATATAGAAGAATCAAGCAAATAGTCTTGGAAGGTAAAAGGACCCGGGTTTGAACCTTAGTCCAATGCTCACTGCCTTGGTGACTTTGGACATGTTACTTCTTCTCTGTAACCTCAGTGTCCCCATCTGAGGTTATGTCGAAGTTACATAGAGATAAGGAGAAGATTGGCCAATTGGGACATCAAGGCAACCTTGACTTCTCCCTTGACTTCTGGCCTGAGTTAATTTCTTTGGATATGACTGTGTGACTCTCTAATGGCTCTAAGACCAATAGTGACACTATCTGGAGCATTTACTATGTTCTAGAAACTGTGCCAAGCATTTTACATGGACTCTCACTTAATCATCACAACATCCCTATTAGAAGAATACTGATATGATCCCCATATTAAAGATGAAGAAACCAAGAGTTAGTGTCCCCAAATTGCTC